ATTTTTTCCCCTAACTTCAACACCTTGTAACTTGAAATCCATTCGTGTTTCGATATATGTTTGTATGACAAAAAGCTATTATTTTTTGGCATAGTATCCTCTGGTGAAGTTTCCCAATTTAAATTCGGACCACCCTGTATAATATAATGTGTGGAACAAAAATAAAAAAAAACGGATATATGCACCTACATACATACACAATACACGTACACATACATATTAAAAATAATATAGTAGAAATACTATAAAAATTATATAGAACAAAAAACAAACAGATAAAATTATACTGGGTATTAACAAATATTTTTACGCTTATGTTTTTATATACACATAAATAATGAAATGTCATAACACAAAAAAAATCTTAGAATTTAATGTACTATTAGAATATATTATTTTCCAAATATCTACTATCCACCTATAGCAGAATAATGAAATGAATCACATATTTTCCACAAAATGACTCATGTTTCTTTTGTTTTTTTTTTTTTAGAAAGATGATAAAAATAGATAATTCAGTATAAAACCAATACTTTTAACAATACAACCTTGAAAAGTTATATAAATATAGAACAGTAAGTTAATTTTAAAAGAAGTCCACCCAGTAATTTTCTTCCTGTATTTATTATAAACCATACACATTTTTTTATATAGAGACAGATAACGCAAATTCAAACAACAACACTGTTTCCCTCTTTTATTTATAGTATCGTATCAATGCCAATAACAAAAACAAGAAAACGTATTAAATAATATTGTTAATGTTTATTTATAATTATAGTTTTGAAACACAAAGAAACGTTTTTGTCAAGAAACTAAATTTTGATCAGTAATGTAATGACATGTTTGAACAAAAAGTTAAGGTCCCTAATTTGCCTTATTTTCAAGACAAATTAATATTAATTTACTTAAAGCAGCAACAAATAAAAATACTGCCTTAAATAAAAATATTGTGGGGTTTTGTTATAAATTTAATATTGATGTCAAATAATACTGTTAAAATTTTAGGACAAGTAAAAAAATCTGAAAACATTCCTTTGTATATCATCAATCATCACATTTTTTGTCTATGTAATTTTAGGTCCGTTTACCTTACATTTTACATAACTAATTTTAATTTTAGGGGAACAATATGATTATGGCAAACAAAGAGTTTGGGGAACAATAGGTTTTGGACTATCAGCATTGATAGCGGGTTATGTAGTTGATTTATTTTCTGGCAGTTCCATTTCATATACACCTGCTATCATTGTTATGGTGGTGTGCTCGATATTCGACTTAACAGCTTGTATAAAACTAGAGGTAAAGACAATACCAAGAAAATGATGTATGCAGTGTGAAATATATAAATATGCAGAATTCCCTAGTACTCAGATTGTCTCTTATATGATGGAGAATAAAAGAACATTTCTAAATATTAAATATGCCCCAGAAGAAAGTTAATGTTTCATAAAAAGGTCAATATGTAAAGGGATGATGGGGTAGGTAAGAGTGTGATATAAGTATATGTTATTATGTGAACTACATTAAAACCGCAAATCTCATATTATGTGCCAAAAATAATTAGAATGTTTGTGTATATACTAATTAACAAATTTTTTATAAATTGATAATAAAATACAAAGAATTAAATGGAGAAACGCTTAAAATAGAACTACAATGTGTACAGTGTACATCACAAGTACATATGAGTTGTGTGAAATATTATAATGGTGCCATTTACATTTTTTTTATCACACCTTTTACATCGGCAACAATTTAATTCAAAACAATTCTGCGTGCAATATTTTGGTCATGTTGTCCACAAGCTCATTTCCTGAATTAATTTTTCAACCATCCTCACCTAAATATATTCTAGTATCTCTAGTATCAAGTTAGTGTTGCAAGTAGTGATGGGAACTATCGAATAACAACTATCAACTAATTCGGTAGTTGGTGCTTATTCGAATAACTCGATAGTTCGAATGAATGAATTTAAAAAATGTTGAATTTAAGAATGGGTTATGAATATGCATAGACGGAGACGGTATTTTATTCATAGTTAAGAGACACATTTTATTATGTGATACGATAAACTGTATAAATAACAAAAAACCGCTGCCAATTACTTGGGGATCAGAACTTCCTCACCGTAGTAAAACTCGATGTGTGGTGGAGTTTGTAATAAAAGTAATTTTTGACATTTCAAAAAAGTCACATTGGTGGAATGGCACTAATATTTTTTTAGACATTTCAAATTTTAAGAAGTGTCAATCAAAATTCAAATTCTATGGTGTTTACAAAATTTTAATTTATGGCTTTGTTTAAACATTAGAACACCATATTATAATGGGTTTGTATAACAGATATATTGTTTGTGTAACACATATATTTCATCACGAATAAATTTTTTTGTTAGAAATAGAAATGTTGGGGCCCGGTAGACCCCGTTCCAGAGGACCGATTTTGCTTATCAACGAACTTAATAACTTCGTTGACCTCTAGAATGTGTGTACTAAATTTGAAAGCTTTATCTCAAAAACTGTAGCTGCTATCATGAACCACACGGACACACACACACAGACTCACAGACAGACATTTTTTTCTGTCTGTAATTTTGTGTATCGTTGAGATTCGTCCAAAAATGCAATTAAAATTTTCAAAATTTTTTTCACGAATACGTACCTTCCTCACTTTGAGGAGTGAGGAAGTAATAAACAAAACGCAACTACCAACTAACTGATGATGACATGTGACTGATACAAGGCTATTTCGGTTCTGTTTCTAAACACCCATTTTTTATGAGAGGTGAAACTCAGTAGCATTAATTAGCAAGTTAACAATATCATTCAGAAGATGTTTTCTAGAAAACTTCTAATGGAATGAATTCATTCGAAAGTTGGAATCGTTTATTCAATAATTATTCGATAGTCCAAATCATTCGATAGTGCCCATCACTAGCTGTAAGTGCCGTTCTCATACGCTAGCTAGTAGCACTGCATGCTTAAAATGGTCTTTGTCTCAACAAGCCTATTTTCTTCTAAGTTTAATTAGTATTTACACACGCTTTTATATAAATCAGTTGCAATAAATAAGGCAGAGCCTAGCTTGCTCACAGCTAATTGCGCACCGGCTCTAGTACAGTTCTTTATACAATAAAATATACTTTGAATTTACCCCCCTCTCCAATTATATATTGTCATTTAATTAGAAATTCATAGATTGCATAGATTATAAATAAATCTACGATGGCTCTGAAGGGCCACAACAAATAAAAAACTAAAAATTTCTATTTTAAAACTAGAAATTTCTACTTTAAAAACTAGAAATTTCTACTTTAAAACTAGAAATTTCTACTTTAAAACTAGAATTTCTACTTCTGAAACTAGAAATTTCTAGTTTTAATATAGAAATTTCTAGTTTTAAATTTTTTACCTTAAGAGGCGCCGGCGCCCGAAACGGGTTTATTGCCAATACCGCTTTACCTTAATCTGAGGCTTTACCAGTGGCTTCTAGGTAAAAAATGTAGGGTATAAAACTTTTTAAGAACACGGAAATTTTGTCTGAAACATTTTTTTGCAAGTCGAATAGACACCTATGGAGTTTCATAGTGGGAATGATCAATGAAAATTCCAAGAACGCTCAGTTTTAAGCTAAATCTGGATTTTTAGGAAATCATGCCTTTAAAAAGTTTTATACCAACGGCCATGTCTCAAATAACTATATACAAAGTTTGAGCGTTTGAGCGTTTGTTATAATATGCCCCAAATTAAAAAAATAATAATAAATCGGTCAACACGTTCAAAAATAAGGTGGTGTGGTCTTAAATCGTACACGTTGAATATGTATACAGAGAAATTTCTTATAAACATAGGTCCGCTAAGGCTTTGTTTTTGAAATACAGGGTGTTTACATTTATTTTTTAAAACGTTCTTTTCTTAATATCGTAGAAACAACAATAGATAATTTGTTATGAATTATACTGATATAAATTACAATAAAATGAAGTGTGTTATGTATTTGAAACATGGCCGCTGGTACAAAACTTTTTGAAGGCATAATTTTCTAAAAATACAAATTTAGTTTAAAAATGAACGTTCCTGGAATTTTCAACAATCCTTCCCACTTTGAAGTTCCACAGCTCGGTGTCTATTCGACTTGCAAAAAAAATGTTTCAGGCAAAACTTCTATGTTCAGGCCACTTTTTACCTAGAATCCACTTTAAAACTAAAAATTTCTTATTTCAAAAGTAGAAATTTCTACTTTCAAAAGTAGGAATTTCTAGTTTTAAAGTATAAATTTCTAGTTTTTTTTATTCGCTGTGGACCTTCAGAGCCATCGTATAAATCATTATTAGTTAAAACATTTAATATTAAATTCATACAATTCAGTCATATGAAAAATACTTCTAATTTGTGCTTGAACAATTTTTTATAGACTACGTTGTGGCAAAATTTAAGTTCATCATCACAAATTAATAAAATTTTAACTCAGTTTGGCGAACAAATTATATTTATTTATTTTTTCATTTAGTTTTGCGTTAATTCACCTAAAATACATTTGTTTTGACTTATTATTATAATCACCTCATTTGTGATGTCTCCCTAGAAAGTCACTCAATTTGTAGCGACTCTCATTATACAGGATCCCCATAATAAGCTGACGGTTTTATATTCTTCATGAATTTTGTACGAAATAACAAATGTGTACTTTACTTAATGTACATATATTAATTTTTAAAAAATAGTATCTGTTAAGTGTCTGCCTTCTTCTTTAATGTATTTTTGTAATCTTGTTCATAATGAGTCGTAGAATATATATTTTTTCAACGTCTTATCTATATTAACGTCATGGCTGAGTTTAACACATTGCCAGGACAGGGACACACACACAATACAATCATTCCCTTCAACATTTGCCAGATACCATAGCTGAGACTCGAATTCAGGAGAGGTAAACAGTGACTAGTCGTGTTCTGCCACTAGCAGCTCGATATTTTCAAAAACGCCATTATAGATACATGTCCTAGCCAGGATTCGAACCCGGAACCCCTTGGTCGCAAACCTAACGTGTAAGCACTGAACCACTGAGCCGACAAGTTAATATTTAAAATTTCTTCACGAATATAGTCATCAAGCCCTTAATAGTGCTAGGATTCTTTGCAAAGACTTTTAAATGGCCCCACAGAAACAATCTAAAGCCGATAAATCAGGAAACTTTGTGGGCCAAGGCACGTTTCCTCATCGACTAATAATGTGATCCCCAAATAACTTTTCGCAGTACCGCCATACTGTTATCCGATCTTGTTAGAAACATGTTCTATCAAGTGGTCCCATCTGGTTTAGTTCTTGATCAAGAAATGTCCCCAACACTTACGTGCAGCGTTCGGAGTACACAGTTATAGCTTGAAAATTTTCATTCTCAAAAAGTACAGATCAATAATATTGAAAACAGTAGTAACAACACACCTTTGGGATATGAAGGAGCCCGGTATCCAGTTCCACGGCCGACTCTATGCTCCGTCGTGGCAGCTCCTCTGGATATTCATCCGACCAGTACCTGAAGTTCTGTTTATTTATGTATCCGCATTAATGAAAATTGATTTCATCGGTTACTAAAATATTTTCCAATACGAGGAGATAGGTATGAATTGTATTCATAAATTCTTGGCAAAATTCCAATCTTAGATTCTTACCCTCGATCGCTTAGGTCTTCGTTCACTTGCAGTTTGTAGGCATGGAATTTTAAATATTTATGGGTAGTTCGACGAAGGCTTCCTTTTGACAATCCAAGAGTTAGAGCGTGTCAATTTGTTGTATTCCGAGGTTTTCTATAACGGCGTTTCTTACTCGAACAATATATTCTGGCGTACGAAAAGTCCTTGGTCGGCAAGATTTCTTACTATTCACTACCACACCAGTGGTTAACCCAATTTTAAATAGTGTTGCGATTTGCCGCATTGTCTCTGCGTCTTTAGCTAAAATTGCGGCGATGTCCACATTAAACCTCAACAATTGAATTTGTCTTGTAACGGTCCATTTTTGAGAGATAAATATTTTGGACCACATTCCTTATAAATTAAATGGAATGGTTTGAGTTGTAGATTAAATTCCAAATTCGATTAAAATAATTTTATTAAATCAATTAAATTGTACTACCCTTGTAGTGTGGCGCTACTATGTACATTTTGTCGACTAAGAAGCCTCATGACGTGCGTGCGCCGAACAGACGATTCTCGGGGAGTGTTATAGCGCGGAGAGACAGACGAGTTGGAGACGCGGTCCAGGTTGGATCCGTGACGTTATCTTACGTTTAGTTGCGTTATCTTAAGTTGGAGATATGGTGAAGTAAGCAGCTGTGTGCGTTACCTTGAATTGGAATAAAACGACATTAGTAAGCTAAGCAATATAGTTCTGTGTTAAGAAGTTATAAAGCAGCCAAGCTGGTGTGATAAGCGAAATGTGCTCTTGTTCTGAGACCACCATGTAAGATTGTTTAATTATAGTCATGTATAGGCGAAGGTCTGTAAATTTAACAAAACAGCCAAATACTTTCTTCGACCCTAGGTACCTAAGCACCACGATTACGTTGTGATCGAACTCTAAGTGCCTCGCGAGTGAAAAATAAATGATCGAATTGACTTATAGTAAAACTTGCCAATCCGGCCGGTACATTTAGACTAATTTCATTTAATGTGCTGTACATTTACTTGTGGCTAATTATCAGTGATTGTGTAAGAATAAACTGCATATTTTCCTACTTTTAAAGGTAGCTAGTTGTTTGTTAGTTGTTAAGGAGAATAAGAATCGAATTGGCAATTGCGATCTAGATCTTTGTTGTTTCTGATTCATTTAGTTTTAGGTTTACTTGGTTTGTCTAGTTAACTACTTGCTTCCCCACCCGGAGAAAAGGGTCATAAATTGCTGTTTTGAATAAATGTAGTTGGCTATTAACTTTTGCTTTATTCTCTTAAAGTTATTTTACTCTTCTAATGATAGGGTGAATTTGCCTTGTTATAACCTTAATGTAGCATTCAACAACATACACATCCATAACGTACTACGTTTAAAGGAGCTATGATTCTCAGGTGATTTTTGCTTTTAACAAAGGTATTTTATTGTAAGAATGAACCGTTTAATATTAATATCTGTTACTACAAAAGTACTATTGATATTTGAAAAAACAAAAAACAGATAGTTGGCATAAATCCCAAAGTCTACTTAACAATTTGCTGTGAATTTGAAATAATTCACTCGTATAATCAAAAGCTATTGTATTTTAAAAACCATCAGCTTATTATATGGAACAAAATTTCCATAGGAGAACAAGCTTTTTGCAGCTAATTTCAAATAAAAATGGCAAGATATAGGTTAGGTTAATAGTTAACATATATATTTTTTTTATTTTAGCTTCCAATTATAGAATCTCCTGAGAATATATTTAAAGATATAAAGGAATTACTTAACAACAAACATGTTATTACATTTATTACTTTTGCTGTTTTTGCTGGAATTGTGGACAGTTTTATTATTTACTACTTATTTTGGTAAGTTGTATGCATATGGTAGATACAGGGTTATCATCTCTTGCTGATTTAGGACTGTAAGCAAGAAAATACAACGCATGCGAAATTCTTTTTTATATTCGTAATCTATTTAGAATCGATTAAGGATAATGAAAAATTTCTTGAATACGCGATACAATGCAAATTTTCTTTGCGAAAATGTGCACTCTAAGACAGGGGTTTGGAAAACAAAATATGCGTTAGAATCAAAAATAATAAAATTGGTGTTCGAGTCTTGCCTTCACTGCCGTAATAGATTAGTTGTTACATCTAAAAGTTATTGTGGGTTTTCAAAACACGTTAAAATGTTGTTTATTTATTTAGAAATACGCCATCTGACAGTACAAGTACCAATTACAGGATGGGGAAAAAGTAAATAATACAATGCACAAAAAAAAGAGAAAATTAAAATTAAATATACATGAAATACGGAATATTGAGTAAAACAAAAAGAACAGTCAATAAAAATAAAGTTAGAAAGTTTCATCTGGTGCCAAATAGTAAAAATTGTGTATTCTGCAGGTAGTTACAGGTTTTACAAACAAAATAAAGGGGAGATAATTGTTAGAGATTTGTCCTAGCTGTGGCAATATGAAAGGTGTTGGTTTGTCTAGACTGAATACGTGGTAGAGAAAAGGTCCAGTTTTTCTAGCAGAGGTGGATAAATTACTACATTATGTATTAATTTAAATAAAACCAGCAATGCTTGTTTATTTCTACGCGTTTCGAGGATTTTTACAGCAAATCTTGTGAGAAGTAATTGTTATGGGATCCATACTTCAGGGTAAACTCCATCTATTACATACGATATAAATTTAAAAAAACGTCTTAAAATATTTTCTAGCGAGTCTACATAGATTAAACAACCTGGATTCCAGATATTCCAATTTTGACCTCACGAAGGTTAAAAAGCAGTAGAAATATGGAAATATCTGTAAAACTTTTAGTTTTTCTTATAACAAAACCCACGTTTCTATACGAAGACTGTACGACTTGCGATAAGATTTTTAAATGTTAATTTGTCATCGAATGTGACACCGAGATCTTTGATAAACTCGGGACGGGTCAGCGCAATATTATCCAATTTATATTCATTGAAGATTGGATCTTTTTTTTCTGTTATATGTCATAACATTACATTAAGTGGACGGTTATTTTCATCACACCAGTTTTTTTATTGTAAAAAGATTATTTTGTAACTTTTCACAATCAGCTCCTGATTTTATGGAGGTAAAAATCTTTGCGTTATCAGCATACAGTAAGACGTCAACATCCAAATCACTCACTATATCGTTAATGAGTAAAACGAATACAAGGGACCCAGTATGAAGCCCTGAGGCACCCCCAAGATCGCACGAATTTCGTCAGACTTGAAACCACAGTATTCTACGTATTGCGTTCTATTACTTAAGCAACTTTTGAAAAATGTTAATAACAAAGGGTAGACACCTGCAATTCGAAGTTTACTAAGTAGGATTCCGTGGTCAAATCTGTCGATAGCTTTGGAAAGTTTTCCACTATGAATTTCGTTATTTGAAACAGATTGCTTATCATGGATTTTCTGTGTACAAAACCATCTGGTATATTGTAATTTGCCCCTCAATGTGAGCATATAGTGTCTCATGTATGGCAAATCCGAAACTTGTAGATTATTGTAATGGGCCGATAGGTTTCCATGTTACCCTTTGACCTTTTTTGTAAATCGGCCAAATGCGGTAACTTTTCCATGATTCTAGAAGTTGGCCGAACTTTAACGATAAATTAAATATTTTGGTAAGAAGCGCAGCAAAAATATAAGCACAAACTCTGATAACGAAAGAAGGTATCCCATCGGGCCCTTTGGTAAGTTTGGATTTTAGTTTCTTTAATGTTAATACTATTGTATTATTATCTAGACTGTCACAATGTATGCAGTTATTTCCTGTGCACAGGTTTTCGTTATTAAAATACATATTTGTTTCGGATGGTGGCAAAAAAATTCTTTGAAGTATTTGGAAAATCCGTTCGATATGTCCTGAGGGTTGTCGTACGTCTCGACCCTTAGATGAACTTTGTTTGGGATGGCGGTAGTTACTTTTTTAGAGTTTTAGATCAAAACAATTTAACATCTACTTTAATATTATTTTGCATACTATCTATATAATTTTTATATGCAAGTTCGATATCCTTTTTAATCTTCGACCGGAGATGTTTAAATTCATTGGACGCAAGTGTGTCATCGGTTTGCTTATATGTTTTCCAGAATTTTAATTTTTTCTCTATATCCTTTATAATAGTATGGGTATACCACGGTGGATACTTTCTCTTATGCGGAATATATCAAGGCACACAGATATAAAAGATTTCTTTTAATACCTCAGAAAAGTGATTGCAGGTAGTGTTTACATCGGACAGTTCATCGATGAATGACCAATCAGTATTAAATATCATTTCGTACATTCGAAGAAAATCTGCTTTACGGAAGTTATAAGAGTATTGATAGTTGTTGGAAATAGAGTGATAGGATGTAGCTTTTATAATGTTAGCGAT